AGCGAGAGAGAGAGATACTCAAGAGAGAAAGAGAGAAAGAAAGATACACACACAGATAGATAGAGAGAGAGAAATACGTACAGATATATATACATACATACATATATATATATATATATATATATATATATATATATATATATATATATATATATATAGATAGATAGATAGATAGATATATAGATAGAGAGATACAGAGAAAGAGAAAGAGAGAGAGAGAGAGAGAGATACACATACAGACAGATAGATAGAGAGAGGGAGAGAGAGAGAGATAGACACAGATAGATAGATAGATGGATAGAGAGAGAGAGACAGAGTTAGAGACACACAGATAGAGAGAGAGAGAGAGAGAGAGAGAGAGAGAGAGAGAGAGAGACATACACACACAGATAGATAGATAGATAGATAGAGAGAGAGAGAGAGAGAGAGAGAGAGAGATAAAGAGAGAGAGAGAGAGCCACACACACACACAGATAGATAGATTAATAGATAGATGGACAGATAGGATAGATAGGCAGAGAGAGAGAGAGACAGACACAGACACACATACACACACTTATAGAGAGACAGAAAACAAAATCATATACGTACGAGAAAGCACAAAAAATGGCGCCGTTTGGAAGGTCTTCAATATCATCGTCACAGTCTAGAAAATTGAGAAAGGTATAAACATGTAACTTTATGCTTCTTTATATAACTTGTACTGGTATATTTTAGTGTTATATTTATCTGTGTTTGAGTGTGTTCGTTTATTATTGGATTTGTGGATTTGAGAGCACTTGTGTGTGTATGTGTGTGTGTGTGTGTGTGTGTGTGTGTTTGTGTGTGTGTGTGTGTGTGTGTGTGTGTGTGTGTGTGTGTGTGTGTGTGTGTGTGTGTGTGTGTGTGTGTGTCTGTATTCTTTTGAGTGACTATGCATGTCTTTAAGGGTTTGTTTATCGGTAGTGTTTTATAGTGTTTTTTTTTCAACATATCAAAAAAACTGAAAAAAATGATATAAGATGAAATTCAACAAAACCAAACAAAAACTAACAACAAAAGAATAACACTGATCACTAACTTTCAAATTTGTTCATGTTGCCTTGGCTTTGAGCATTGCTGGATCTGTAAGAGACATCTTGATTTGCATTGAACTGCCGAAGCTGGAGAGTTCTGGTGAAAAAAGGATAAATAATATATTAATGAAACATAAGTAAATGATATAGATAATGAACACATAAATAAATGAAAGAAACAAATAAATAACATTAATAAATCCAACATAAATAAAACATGAACAAATGAAATAAAATAATTCAAAAATTAAAATGACAAGTATAAATAATAACGATAAAAATAAATAATGATTGTAACAAAATGAGGGAAGACGAACACACTAACAACTAAACAACAACAATAATAACAACAATAATGATAATGGCAATAATGATAAAAGTGATAACAGTAAAATTGATGGTAAAAAAGATTATAATAAAAATTATTATAAATAAACAGTGATGATAATCGAAATGATGATAATGATGATAACAATGACAATGATGATAGTAATAATACTAATGATAATAACAATGATAATAATAACGATAATGATGATGATAATAATAACAATAATAATGATAATGATAATGATAACAAAAATGATAACATTAGTAATAATACAATAGTAGTAATAATAATAATAATAATAATAATAATAAAAATATGATAGTAACAATAACGATAGTAACAACAATGGCAATAAAATATGAGTAATAAATACGACGACAATAATTATTCTAATGAGAATACTATCTATGGTGCTGGTACTGATTATACAATAATTATAACAGTGATAATAATAACAAAGATAATAATAATGCTAACGACGATATTAATGATAATGATAATAATAATAGTGGCATTAGTAGTAGTGATAATGGCCATAATAAAAATAATCATAATAACAATGATAAAAAAGTAGTAATAATACTAATGATATAAATTATAGCAATAATAATAATAATAACAACAAAACAAAAATGATAATGATTATGATGATAACGATAAAGATTATATTGATAAAGAAATAATAATAACAACATCATAATAAAGATTATCATACTAATAATGATGATAAAAATGATGATGATAATAATTATAATGATAATAATAATAATAATAACAATAATAACAATAATAACATTAACAATAGCAATAACAATAATACTAACAACAACAACAACAACAACAACAACAACAATAATAATAATAATAGTGATAATGATGATAATAATAATAGTAATTATAATAATGATAAAAATAATAATTGTAATTATAATAATGATAATATTGATATTAAAATTATTATTATTACTTCTACTACTAGTATGGATACTGCTACTACTGCTACTACAGCCACTAATAATATAATTAATAATGATATTTGCGATAATAATAAAAGAAAGAAAAACAATGATGATAATAGCAATGGTAATAAAAATGATAATAACAACAGCAATAA